AAGCAAACACCTGCTCTAGAGCTGAGCATTGACCATCTATCTATGGGCCTTAATTTGCATTCAAGGTCAGAACCTGCCTGATTATTGGTCTGCAAACAAATAGGACTGCTTGTCCTTCTCACAGCAGGTGCTGCTTGTGCTGGTTTTACACCTGGCTTCACCGTATCTGCCCTGTCCTTTTATTTCCTTTGTCCTGATTTCTAAACCCACATTTTTAAAAATTGCATTTTATTGTGTTGCGTGAACTTTCATAAAGCATCCCTGAATAATTCTGGAACAAAGGTAGTATATAAATATCAGTCCATTTAAAATAAATAAAATATATGATCATGCATAACTCTGGTGCTAGACTGTGTCTCCTACCCTATGGGGCATGCCTGGGCTCTTTCTCCAGCAGCAGGAGACAAGCACAGCTTCCAGGTCCTATGTTGGGCTCCTTTCAGTTGGAGCTCCCAGCACGGCGGAATAGATTTTGTAAGGGTGGCTGAGCCTGCACAGGTTTATCAATCATCAGGACAGTCATTCAGGGTGTGTCTGCTAAAAGCTTGCCAAGAGAAGTCACATGCTGTATAACTGAAGGGGGATTGAGTTGAACCTGCCTTCCCTCTTGTTTTTGCCAGAAAAGGAAAACAGGACAAGAACTTTGGGGGTCATTCCCATAGAGGACCAGTGCCCAGTGGAGAGAGTTTCTGGCCATGACATGCTTGTCACTACAGTAACCGCAAGTTGGGTTTGGACAGTGAGGGCCCACTCCCATTCTCCAGACACCTCCACCTGGATTCCTGAGCATATATGCATGGCGACCTACCTGACAAGTGGGCAGGATTACTGGCTTGCCCTTCAACCTCAAATCCCCATTGCTTTCCTACACTTGTGCTGAACTTAGAAATTTCAAAGGAGCTTTCTTGCCTCTTTAACACAAATGATGCTCTAGTACCATTTTAAATGGTCTCCTCTTTCACCCTTTCTCCCTGGGCCCCACTCTGGCATCTTTCATCCTAAGGGCAGGAGAAAGGAAGAAAATGAAAAGTAAGGTGCTCTTCTTCCTTTTTTTTTTTTTTTTTTTTTTTTTGAGACAGAGTCTCACTCTGTTGCCTGGGCTAGAGTGCATTGGTGGCATCATAGCTCACTACAGCTTCAAACTCCTGGATTCCAGCGATCCTCCTGCCTTAGTCTCCTGAGTAGCTGGGACTACAGCTCCACACCACCACGCCTGGCTAATTTTTCTATTTTTTGTAGAGATGGGATCAGCTTGCTCTTGCTCAGGCTGGTCTCGAACTCCTGGCCTCAAGCGATCCTCCCACCTCGGCCTCCCAAAGTGCTAGGATGACAGGCGTGAGCCACCATGGCCAACCTCTTCTTCCTGAAGTCCTGATGAACAGAGCTGATCTGAGTTGTCCAGTCCTAACTTCCCTTCTCTTAGGCTGTGCCCTACAAAGAGAATTGGGAAGTGCTCTCTGGCCATATGGCGACTGTTACTTTAACCACATCTATTTCTAACGTAAGCACTCCTCCCACCCAAATCTACCTTCCCAATACAATGACTGGTGTCCCTGGGGCTCCATTCATCACTGACTATTATTAGAGCTTCTATATCTTGGAGATAGAATGGGAAACAGGAAGATGGGGCCATTGAGCTTCCACCAGAGATGAAGATGTATAATTCTCCAGTTAGCACTTACCACTGTCCTCTCCTCAGGCATCTGCCTCTTGGGCTATAACGTCTTTCTTACTATTGCTTCATGTTTTTATTTTGCTAATATTGCTTTGCTGGTTTTGCTCAACATCCTATAGATGCCAAGCTTGTTTGTGTAAGCTCTCCAGGGGATTAGTCAGGAGAATCTTGTTTTAGGAACTTAACCTTAGTTGACCGGTGGCCAGAGAAGTGGGGAGGGTTGGGATAAGGTGAGAGAATAACGTGCTCCTATCACAATTGGCTAGAACACAGGCAGCGGCCAGGCTGCTGACACTGTTTCCAAAGCCCACACGAGGTGGCCAGAAGGCCCGCACTCTTGTAGCATTTTTACCCAAGAAACTATTAATATCATCGAGCAGGTGCCAGCTGTTCGTTCGTCAGGTGTAACTTCCAGATGTCTTTGTGATATATCTTGTACTACCTCCAAGTAGAATCTCTCTCTGAACTGAAAGTACACTCGTTCCTGAAGCCAAGAAGACTGCACGTGCTTGGACTTTTACAGTCAGTAAGTTTTTCTTTATGCAGCAAGGTGACACCGAATGGCCAACTCACCTACGGTGAAGTGACAGGAGTTGCCATAGAGCCTTTGCATCATCCATACACTTGGCACATATTTATGACAGCAGGCTCTGAACAAAACCAGGCCCCTCCACGTAGAGGTCAGACCAATACTGGTTAAAAAAACATTACACGACAAATCATTAAATAAGAAAGCACTGTCATTTAAGATTAAAGGGTTGTGTCTAATATCCCTAGATTTTAGGTGATATCGCAGCACTTGCCTGTGCCTCAAACGTAGATGGAGCAGAAACTGCACCTGAGAAGGAACTCCAGCTCTGCCTCTAGTTAGCCACGACCTTGGGCAAATCACTTTTATTTCATTACAGAAATAAAAATATTTTATAGATACACGACGCTATACATAAAAGTGCTGGGGGACTTTGCTTATGCCACTCCATCAGCCTTCTTACTCTTTTCCTCCTAAAAAACTTACTCATCCTTTGAAGCTAGCTCAGTTGGTACCTTTGCCAACATGTCTAAGTACTCACGGAGCCTCCTCTAAGTCCGTTTTGTTCCACGATGACAATACTTAACCACACGTTAGGCCATCGGTAACGTCATGGCACCTGGGCTCAATGTGACCAGAGAAGTGCTCATTAATGTTAGCTGAGTGAATGTCAACGGCCTAGGTTATGGACAAATGAAAGCAACAGATTAGGTTGTTAGCCGAATGTGAATCGTACTAGGGACCTAAGAGAAACTTTTATCATTTGTAAATTGCAAGGCTTGAATTATTAACAATTCTTGGTTCCCGGCATACGTGCCTTGGGAGGTTCAAGGCTCTTTTCTTTGGCTGCTACGTGCTTTGTGCCTCACAGAGTAAACCATGGTTCCTTCCGCCTTCATCAGTTTACGTTGGATTCCCTTTTCCACCTACAGGCTCTCTGCTGCGCACCAGGCCCAACTTCGCTAGCAAGAAAGTCCCACTCCGAGCTTAAAGGTAGTAATTTATACAAGACGGCAATAAAGGACAACAGTTGGATTTATTTTCTAATCATCTGTGGCACTTTTATAAAGAGGGTATATGAGAAAACATTTTATAGTTTGGTAAATTTTAATATTCCTTGCCAAGCTGTGTTTATACTGCACTTGGAGTAAAAGTTTGGGGTGATTTTTCTTTCAAACAAGTATTGAAAAGCGTGGTGGTTTATCTATACGCATGCACGTGCCACTTCACCGTAGGAGCAGGGAATGTGTTAGCCCTTCCCAGCAGCATCAAGGACATGCCTGCCTCGATCCATCCCACTTCCAGCCCTGATTATCCAGCCATGGTAAGACCAGAGCGCCCAAACTCAAAGGCACAGTGAATCACTGCGGTTCCAGCACAGCGCAGAGGCAGCGGACCCAGGGAAGGAAGACATTCTGACCCAGTGAGCTTCCCCAAGCCTGAGCAGGCCCTCCCAGCTTCGCTCCCTGGCTGTTGTTGACCCATTCTGAGAGGACTGGGGTCTCCTGACCATGGCCTGGGGCCTCCTGACCATGGCCTGGGGCCAGCCAGCCTCTTCCTCAATGCTGCAGGGAGATCTGGGAGCCCTCTAGAGCAGCAGGGGCCTTCAAGTGTCAGGCCCTGGCTAACATATAGCAACTTCTCAACCTTTGTGCAAAAGAATCAATCGTTGGAGGCACTTTAAGATTCAGGGCCTGATTCAGCGGGGCTGGAGGGTGTGAGATTCCGCATGGCTGATCTGTGGACCACACTTTGGACACGAAGTAGCTGAAGGACTGTATCTCAACACTGCTGCATGGTAGAACCACCCGAGAGGAGCCTTCTAGAATCATACAGATGCCCAGGCCACACTCCTTACTGATTAAATCTGGATGGGGGAGGGACTGCTAGAGTCCAGGCAGCAATATTTTTCTTAACACTCCCCAAGCGATTCTTAATGGAGTCAGGGTCAACAACCACTGACCTAAGGGCTCAACTCATTGTTAAGCAGGGCCCAGCCTCAAAGGAACAGGACTTTGAACCCCATTGGTTTTATTGCTTTCAATTTTCTTGTGCTTGCTGAACTGTCACAAGCTGAAGGCAATTTACTGCCACCCCTCATTTTAACCACTTTCAACAGAGGAAATAAGCAGAAATGCTCTGCCTTCTCTGGATCCACCCGTTTCTGAGCCGGGATATACACAGCAGGCTAACACCTGCAGGTGCACAAGGGGTATACACAGCAGGTTGACGCCTGCAGGTGCACAAGGGGTATACACAGCAGGTTAACGCCTGCAGGCGCACAAGGGGTATACACAGCAGGCTAACACCCGCAGGTACACAAGGGGTACACACAGTAGGTTAACGCCTGCAGGTGCACAAGGGGTATACACAGCAGGCTAACACCCACAGGTGCACAAGGGGTATACACAGCAGGCTAACATCTGCAGGTGAACAACGTTGAAGGGCGCTTGCTTTCCCTGGCCTGAAAGAGGCCCTCATGAGCAACCATAATGCACCAAGAGAACGAACAGGCGGAACAAGTGTGGAGTATTCAAAGGCAGCACAGCACTGAGATCCAGCTGTAAACGGTGACCTCCCACTGCTGGAACAATTCCTTAAGCTCAACAGTAAAGTTCCTTTCAAATGCACTCAATGGCAGGAAAACAAACTGCAATTTTCTTTCAGTATTTGATTGGACTCAATGCATTCAAGTTATGGAATTGATGAGAGCGAATTCAGAACAAAATCATACACAACCACAGATAGTTTAGCATTTTATCCTCATTTTTAACCTACAAAGTGTAAGGTTTTCGTAAAGTATTTTAATAAATATATTAAGGCTTAAGGTAATTGCTGCTTTGAGTGGAGGGTGGCTTGCTTGCTAACATTCAGAAAACAACAAAAACATTTGTCATCTTACAGTGAGGACACAAAACATGAGCTTGCCCCAGTTTTTTGTTTTTTTTTTTCCCACTCCACATATAAACATATGATCTTCCTTCCTCCTATATCTGACAGACAAAGAATGATATAAATTTTGGGTAGGTTGAAAGAAAGCAGTTGATTGGTGTGACCGGAAGTGTTGACTTTTTCAGTAAAAAGCTTTCACCACGTCACCTGGACAGTTAATAATGCAGCTTATAAATAAATAAAGCTGAACCAAGAGGCTTCAAATTTAAAAGCTCATTAAACAGAAGAAAAGCTGCAGACCATCTCAAGGAAGGGAAGCAGTGAAACGTCAGTTTTAATACATCGCAAACTGGAAGCAGGAACCCTAAAACAGAGAGGTGTAAATAATCTACCACCTGTAAGGAAGTCACTGGCCACGAGTCGCCTCGTACAAAACACCCACAAAGGTCCTTTGCAGAGATCCTCCTGCTGCCTTTCGTCATGAACCCCCAGCAGCTGTGTCCCAGTGTAACAGTGTCAAGGACATTGCTGAGCACCGCCAGGTCACCTAAGCAGAAACCGTGGCCATCAAAGCCAACTGCCACCATGTGTCAATGGAGAACTCCCTCCTACAAAGTAAACTGGCAGCGTTCGTGCCACCTGCCTGAGGACCGTCCACAATGGGGGAGCAGAGGTGCTCTCCCAGGAGAGGAGAAGCAAACGCTGGCAGCATGTCCAGTAGGAAGGGCTTGCCCCACCCTCGCGTCTCTCCAGAGGCCCCCTAGATGGACTCCAGAATCCAGTCGCTGCTGGAGAGCGGGGAGACAGGCAGTGACAAGTCCCGAGGAGGGTCCCTCCCGTCGTGGAGGGAGCTCTGCTCCCGGAAATACTCCTCGTCCTCGTTGAAGAAGCCATTCTCCAGAGCATAGGTGCAGTCCGGGCTGGAGGCTGCCTGGCATGCTCCCTTGTACTCCTGAATCGACTCGTAGAGGCTGTACAGTTGGCAGAGCAAGGACATGTCCAGCTGGCGGAGGCCAACCTGGAGGGAAAGGGCGGGGAGGTAAAAACAGGAGTCAGCACTGAGTTTCAGTTCAGCTGAGCACGCAGCCAGCCAGCTGCGCTGCCAGCACATTCTCCGCACGGCGGATGATTCAGAGCATCGCTCGGATGCTTTGGATTTCTAGTTTTGAGAACACCTTAACTGCGTCACGCCCACACCGCAGATATTACTCAGTGTGCATGGGAAGGGACACACCTGTGGGGCAGCCAGCCCAGCCTGCAGAATCTGCCCCAGCACCCCAGTGCACACCCAGTGAAGCAACAGCATTGCACAGTCTGTCGACCCAGATGGCTTCACTCTGGGCGCTGAGAAACAAGCGTGTCATTTCATCTCCCTATGATCAGGCTCAGAGAAGACCCACAACTGCCTCCCCTGCCACTGTGTTAGGATCTGAGTGGTGCAGTCATTCTCAGCTCCTAGGGGCAGTGGATTGCCCCTTGCAGGTGACAGCAGCTCACCAGTCAGTGTGACACACCACCCCCTGGAGCACCCCCCTCTGACCGGCTCAGGCTCCAGGCTCTCGAGAGGAGTGGTGGAGGCCAGACTCCCTCTCCTCCAGACGGGGTCACCCTTACCCCACGGTGGCTGTGGGGTCCCTCCCCAGAGCAACTGACTGCACAGGAAGCAGCTTAGTAAGAGGCAAGGCCTCCACGGTTCCTCCTGGAAACTACTTCCACAAAAGCAAATGGTGACAGAACAAAGAACATATGTAAGAGTCAAATTTGTTTATCTCCAAGTTCCTTGCCACCCATCCCAGGGAAAAGAGCACCATTAAGAACAGGAAACACATCATTTCCATCAATCCCAAAGCGAGAAGGGTTAATACACTTGGAAATGCAGCGTAGCCCAGGGTACCTTAACCTTCGCTGTGCGTGAGAACCACCCAGGGATCTCATTCAACGTACAGATTCTCATTCGGCGGCTCTGGGGCCACAGCCCCCAGGTGACACTGAGCAATGCTGCCGGTCACAGGCCCCACTCTGAGCTGCGAGGGGAAGACACGCTCGCCAGGATGCCAGGAGACCTGCCCTCTGCTTCTTGGCCCCTGAACACTTACTTATCATCCCTGGTCCCTGGCTGACGGCAAAACAGAACAATAACTTCTCTTACAGAGCTATTGGGAGGATTAAGTGAAATATCCACGTATTCAAATAAACAGTGGTCGAAGGTCTCCTAGGCTAAAGCACTAAAGAGGTGCGGTCCGTGCACATATAAATACAGACGGCGTTATAGGATGTGCAGTTTTTATAATTACCGAAATGACTCATTTACCAAGCAGTGATATATTCCACGTAGACTGTTTGGCTTTCACAAAGGGAAGCTGAGACTGAGGAAAAAGCGTTCATCTGGAAAACTGGGTATTAAGTGCCAGGCTATTCTGCATACCCTCCAACCACACTGGGGATCTTCTTGTTTGTTTGTTTTATTTTATTTTTTTCTTGTTCAGAGACAGGGTCTCACTATGTTGCCCAGGCTAGATTCAAACTCCTGGGCTCAAGGGTCCTCCTGCCTCAACCTCCTGAGTGGCTGGGACTACAGGCATGTGCCACCATGCCCAGGACGACTTCTCTGAATTGCCAAGTGAACAGTGGCTGCCTCTACCACAGCTTGAACAGACCATAAAAAACTGAACTATGTTGTCCTTACATGGAATATTTTGACACTCAAGGGAAGACTTGCAGATAGGAGGATTCTGCTGTTACCACTACAACTCCTCATAACTCTAGAATTTTTTTTTTTTTTTTTTTTTGAGACAGAGTCTCACTCTTTTGCCTGGGCTAGAGTGAGTGCTGTGGCGTCAGCCTAGCTGACAGCAACCT